GTTATAATCTTTTAGGGATTCAGAAATAAAACCAGGGATAACTGAGAACGTGCAGAACTTGCTTGTGCTGATCGTATTGGCTCAGGCAAAACCTGCTCTGGTGCTGAACCAGCAAGGAGGGGGAGGTTCATCAAGGGGGAACTTTGGTACCTTCCTGTAAGGGAAGGAGGGTGCAAAATGGGAGCTGATAGGGTAGTTGACCACTATTGGCCAGTACTCCACATGGACCTATTGGAATGAAGCCAGAGGGGGGTAGCAAAGATGTTCTGAGGGCTGGAGCACGTCTGCTGTGGAGACAGTTTGCTATGAGAGTTTGGATGGTTCAGCCTGGAGAAGAGAAGACTCTGGGGAGACCATGGAGCCCTTTCCAGTAGCTAAAGGGCCTGCAAGGGAGCTGGAGAGAGATTTTGGACATGGAGTGTCATGGACTGATAGGACGAGAGGGAATGGTTTTAAACTAAAAGATAGTATGTCCAGAATAAATATACTGGGAAGAAATTCTTAATTGTGAGGGTGGCGAGGCATTGGCACTGGTTGCCCAGAGAAGCTATGGATACCTTATCCCTGAAAATGTTCAAGACCAGGTTGGATGGGGCTTGGAAGCAACCTGGTGCAGTGGAAGGTGTCCTTGTGCAGGGCAGAGGCTTGGAACAAGATGAGCTTTAACTTCCCATCCCACCCAAACCATCCTATGATTCTGTGATTGCTTTTCCTGCTGAAATACTACTACACTTGTAACTTGGGATAATATTTACAGAGTAGTCCATGCAGGTGTTTTACTAAGGTAGTATTTGCATGGAATTAGCAAATTTGGAGGAAGTGGGGGAGTTGACATCGTCAGATAAACGAGATTTTTTTTGTAACCCTAACTAGCCCTGCTGAAGCAGATTGTATCTAACCCCATGCATACATCTTCTTTTACTCCAGACAAGCAATCTCTCTCTTCATACTTGTTTGCAAAAGTGGATTTGCTCTGAAATCAGTATCTGTTTAATTAATGCAGTGGAAACAAAATGGTGTTTGCTTCTGCTCGTGGGTGTTTCTGGAGAAGATGTGTGTGCTGTGAATTCCCAGGCACGTTTCCTGTGTGCTCGCTCCGTGTGATCCGAGCTGGCCACAAGTTCAGCCTCGGTGACGTCTTGGGACCAGTTCCTTGTTTTATTTATCCCCCCCGCTGGCTTTCCTGTTTGCAGCCTAACGTGCTCCTATTGTGAACGGGCAGATACTCATCTGGTGTTAAGTCGCTGGTTTAACCATAGCCCTGCTGCTTTGATGTGAGCCCAGCCCACAATCTCTGAGGTGGGTTTAAAATGGGAGTCAAAGGTTGGTTTTAGATGAGTATTTACAGAGATAATTCTGTTTGAAAGAAAACTACTGGTTAGCCTGTGATGTGTGTGGCTTTATATACCCTTGTGTTTCTTCTGCGTATAAGACAAGTGTTACTCAGACACATAATCCTGCCCTGAACTCCTCGGGGGGAGCAGTGGAATTCATTGGGCTGGCTGGCGATGCCTGACCTCTTCCTGGACTCCTCTTGCTGCAGGTCAGCCTGAGGTGAGCCAGGTGGGATCTGCAAGCGACTCCTGGCCTACCACCTCTTCTGCACAGGACACTGAGGCACCTTTTCAGGTGGAAAACTATATTTATTTGTCCCCAGGCATATTACAGTACCATATTGTATTGTTTTGGAGGTATTCCCTGCTGGTTTCACTTTCCAAGCAAATGTAACGTGCTAAGAGGTTTGACAGCCATGACTCCAGAGTCTTTATTTGTGATACACTCAGTTACTTACTTGATGTATACTTTGTAGTTTTCCTGGCTAACAGAGGTAGAAGTTTTGCTTAAATGCAGAATATTTTGTGATCCAGAAGGAAAAATGACATGGAGTAAAAAAAATTATTGCTTAGCCACGAGCAACTCAGAAGTTGTTAACAAGCAACAAAATTTGCTTCTCTGGGAAATGTTATGCTAGAAATTTCTTTGGTTCACCCCTTCACATATCTGAGTAAGAAGTGGAGAAGGAAGTTCCTTTTTATTTTAATCACATGTTACTGAATGGTTGGGCTTCAGTCCCCCAAAAAAGGGCCACACTTCTGAACACTTCTACTTTTGCTAATAACTTCTGTTGAAAATATGAGCTCTGTAATTCTTTTAATTAAGAAAAAAACCCTCTGTTAGTAAAGAACTTTGCTTACCACAGTCTCAAAACCTGATAATAACAACAAGGTTTCCTTGCTAACAAGCAATGAATGTCTTTTCTGTTTCTGTTGACCAAAAAAAATTGGGAAGGCTGAAAATTAATGTGGATTCCTAATTGCAGTGAATGCCTAGGATGTCTGAAGGCACTTTGTGTTTCTGGTGACATTACAGATTGAGTTTTTACTTATGCAAGAGACAGCTAAATCTTTAAAACATCCTAATCTAAGGCAAAGCCTAAGACAGGAGAATAAAATATCTTCCTGAGCAATGAAATTGCATTGAATCCCAGCTTCTGCAGAGCAAATTACTGTATTGCCTGTACCAAAAGGATCAGACCTAAAACCCTACAATACTCCTATCCTCCAAGAAGCAGCTGCCTGGGTACAGAAGTCCAGAAGTACTTGGCTGGCTGTGTTTGCACACAGGCATCAGAAGCTGATGCTTTTTCACTATCTAAAGAGTGTTTTCCTGGTAATTCAAGATGGGATAATTCCTTTACAAAGAACCCTTAATGATCTTACAAGCACCACGCCAAGTTGAGAAGGCTTTTAAGAGTGGGTCTGGCGCCCGTGGCTGGTGGCTATAAAATGCAACTGCATTTCGTGCGAAATAGGATCTAACTGGACAAACCTTGTCCAGTTTCAGACTGTCTCCGTTTCTTGAACGCTGTGGAGCTCTCCCTGTGTGAAGGTGGAATTGACTCCCTCTCCCTGTGACACTGGAAATTAATATGAATATAAATAAAATGATATGTGAATTCAGAGAGGTTTCTTTTTGCTGTTCCAATATACTGGCTAAAAGTTAAAAATACTAGATGTATCAAAGTTGCTAGAAGCTGTTTTAAGTGGCTGCTCAAACTGATACCATAGAGAACAATTGCATTTTTTAAAGTTTTCAGCTTGTGAGGATTGGTTTTCTAAAAATACATGGAGGTTTTTTTAAGTATAGTTACTAAGATAGAAAAAGATGTGCTTCTTTTAGTTTCTCATATAAATATTTTTGCAGCGTTCCGCTCTTGCAGCTCTTAGAAAACCTGATTCAAGTCTGGGGACAGTTTGTGTTTCTTGGATGTTTGTTTTGCAGCTCCTTTTTATAGCCCAGGCTCAGGAGTGAAGCGGGAGGAGGGGTGGGAGAGCATGTGGGGAGAAAGAACTTTGACAGTTGCAGGAAATGGATGTCCGTTCCTACACCTTCCTGAAAGCCTCGAGCTTGGCTCTCCAGCCTGAAGGTGGGGGTGCAGGTGCTGTTCCCACTGCACATGATCTGCTCTCACAACCCCACTTGTGCCCAAAGACCACGTCCACCCCCGTGAAGGGCTCAGCTGAAGTCTAGGTTGCAGCCTGGGTGGCAAACGTGTTGGGCTTTAGGACTTCGAGTCACTGACCGGTTTGTTCCATTTTGGTTTTGCTCAACTGCAGAGGGTCTGAGTGGGCTGAATTATTTTTTAACAATAAGGAGTATATCAAAAGGGATGCCTTGTTTCTTGCTGATCATGAGCAGAGATACCAAATTTGCTCTTCTCCTGGAGGACATCACAGGGGAGCAATAAGGAGGTTTGCATTTCACTGCTCCATCTTATTTTGTCTTCTTTTTTTTTTTTCTCGTGGAGGATATAAACTAGCAAAGCATATAAAACTGAAGCTCGATTCTGAGCAGCCTGATTTACAGCTCTCTTGGTTAAATTTTAGGTTAGTCCACTTGAGAGTAGATAACCAGACACCATCCAACCCACATGGGAAAGTTATAGCTGATTTATAGCTCAAAGTATGCTCAGTGAGTACACTTACACTTGGATGAAGTGGCAATGTCTTTGTGTAATCAGAGAGTTTCGTTTTGAGCAGTTCACATTCCTTTTAGCTGACAAAACCTGAAGAGGGGAAGAAAAAAGTCCTCCTTATGCCTTAGGCTCATGAAAAACATCTCCTCCAGATCCAGGCACCTAAGTCTCCCCCTGTCTGCTCACACTCCCCACTGTGATTAAGCCATAAAATCAGCTTTAGCAGATCTTAAAGGTTGCATGGGCAAACCCTGGCCTGATTTAGTCTCCTGATGGGCTCACGTGACTTGGGGTGCAGAGTTGTGGCTGGAAAGCCTGAGAATGTCAACAGGAGTTTGGCCTTTGAGGTCTTCTTGTCGAGGACCAGGACCCAGGGCTGCATAACATGGCACTGCCACTCCTTCCCTGAAAGGTCAGGATAGAAATCAGCCCATGGCTGGAACACATGTGGAGGAAAGAGAGGTCAGGTTACTGAGACGAGCTGTTGTCAGATCTTGTCTGTGAAACGAGACTTGTAATGTGTTATAGATACTGGGATTATTTTGGGGTGGTGAGAAAAGCTTCTCCTGCAGAAGCTGTTCTGTGAAAGGCAGCTCAAGTAATTTTCCTGGTCAGGTGTGGGAAAACAGGGATGCTAAAACTGGGAAGATTTAGCAGGAGTTGAAGAGGCATTTGCTTTGCAGTCCCAATTTGCAGCATTTGCACTGGTTGGGCTGACATTGTCCAGTTCTGCTCATTTCAGGGGAGAATGGTCAACTGCAGCAGGGGTCTGTGATCTGTTTTCTGCTTCACAAAGCCTCAGGGGTTAACTAATGGATTGCTTGAGATTTGACTTTCCCAGTGCTTCCTAATCAAGGAATGTTTTGAGAGGTACTTCAGGGCAGGAAAATATTCAGGAAAATACAAGAAAGCCCGCTGCCAAATGGAGTTAAGCTGTCAAATTCCTCACCAAACATTTCTTTCTGCACAGTGATGAAATGTAATTATTTTTCTCAAATACTGTTCTTGCAATTTTGTTTTGTAGGAATCGGAGTTTCTCTGTCTGGAGTTCGATGAAGCCAAGGTGAGCCAGATGCTGAAGAAACTCTCAGAAATAGAGGAAAGTATGGCTTTGTTGACTCAGACTACTTAATCAAATAAAGAGATTGCAACTTAGAAAAAAATGGCCCTTGGTACTTTTTCATAATTCCTATTCTGCCCATAAAATATGGTGACAATGGTTAAATTATAAGTGGATGATACATTCACAACCAGACATGAGCTAAGTCACACTGTGAAGATTTCTCATCCATTCCTGGCCTCTTCACCAAGGTGGCATCAGCATTGTTTGCTGCTGCATAATCAAACCTTAGAATGTAGCATAGCTTTTTTCTTTTACCTCTCAGTCAATTTTGGAGTCTTCCAGATGCTGTAAATGCTGGGCTGGATGAACAGCAAAGGTAAATTGGCTAGCTGTGGCAGGAGAGAAATGAGCAGAACAATGAGCAGAACAAACAGGCAGATCAGGGGGTACTCATGTTTATCCTTCCAAACCATGGGCTTTATAGGACAAATCCACCTGTGTGAACTCTGTCTGCTTAGGGCTTAAAGCCCGGGAGAGCAGATGAAGTGCAGCGAGTTCAGGGAGCAGAGACACAAACACATTTCTGTAATGGGGAGCCCCTGTGCTGCTGAGGATTAAGGTGGTTCCCAAGGGTGTGAGTTGGACAACCTGGCTGGCCTGTCCAGTCAGACCTTCCTGGTGCTGTGAGGAGCCAGGGGACAATCAGGGGAGCATCTTTAGGGCAGTGGGAGGTGCTGGTTTCCCAAGAGGAACAGTCCTCCTGCATGTGCAGATCACCTGATCCAGCTGCTTCTGGCAATCCTTCAAAGCCCCTTCTGATGTTCTTCCCCAAGGACCATCCACCCTCATCAGCCTTCTGGCTCTTGAGCTATAGTGCAGCCCTGGCACCGAGCTGCACGGTGTGTTTGAGAGGCCAGTGATTTGTCAGAGCACAGTTTAACTTGGCTGCTCTTAGTTCAGTTTGTCACGGTTTGTTTTGACCTCGAAAAGCCTCAGATTAAACCCAAGAGTTCTAGTGTGTGTGTGCACATTCAGCTTGGAATGTGGGTAAAAGGAAAATGCCCTTGGCAGCCTGGCAAGGCTGCAGCCCCATCGATAAAATAGCTGTGTGTGAAGAAAGCTGAAAGCAGGGGCAGATAAGGGGCACCATGGTCCGCACTGCCTGGGTTGCTGTGGCTCTGGGCAGTTGTGGGTAGTTGCCCACATCTCTGTTGTAACTGCAGAGCAGCCACTGCCTTCCTAGGGAAGGAGGCCTGACAGAAGTGTTTTCAGCATCATGTGTTTCTGCCCAGGGGTGCAGTCTTGTCACCCATGTCATAGCTGGCGGTCTGACCACACTTTAATGCCTTGTCGGTTCAGGAGGAACTGGAGGGGCCGTGTGGGCAGGTTGACACTCTCACAGAGAATGAGGGTCCCTTCAGGAGAGCTGCCTGCTGGTCTGTAAAAGGGGGAAGGTACTGCCTCGCTGGTTTGCTTTGTTACTTAAGCAGAAGGTGTGCACACCCATTTGGTTGGGGGCTGCATTGATTCTTCCCGTTTTATATTCGCTTCGCAAGCAACCTCCTCCTGAGCTGAAATTACACTGAGGGCTTGTACCGAGATAGAGATGACAACAGAAAATGTTCTTGTGCCATAACTAAAGTACTCCTCATTGCCTCTCCTTGTGAATTTATTGCTTGTGGAGTTGCCAGATTGTACTTGGAAGCGAAATCTCTTCAGAGCAAGGGAAGGGCACCTTTTCCCATCTGCCTGGTCAAAAGGGAAAGCATCACTCAAGCCAATTTGTGTCACTGCCCAGGGAATTAACGTTTCCTATCCTGTGCCTGTCCTGCTGCCGCCTCATCTCTCAGAGCCACCTGGTTCTCCCCTTTATGGAGAGGACTGCACAGCCCACAGCACCTCCACTTCCCCATGTGCCTTCAGCTGATAACTCTTCAGAGAGGAACTGGTCTGTAACCACCAAGTGATCCTCCTCACACCGGTTACTGGCTTGCAGCATCAGCGTGAAATGAGTGGTTTGTCATTCTCTGAGCTTTCCATTTGCATTCTCAACAAAGTTCATTAAAATATTTTCTGTGTTTCAGAGCAGTTTACTTTACCAAAAAAAAAAAAAAAATTAAGGTCAGAGAAGGATCATGTTCTTAAGTAACTTGCGCTGTGTCAAACGTACTTATTGTTTTATTTTAACATAGTCAGAGGATAGGAAAATGTGCTATAAATGGAAATTAAAGAGAAACAAACTGGGAACAGATGTCAGGAAGTATTATTTCATGCAAAGAATATAAATATGAGGAATGGCTAACAAGGCAAGGAGGCTGAGGCAAAAAATCTTGGGGACATTTAAGACGCTGGATACTTTCCTAGTTGAGGTGTGAAGTTAAAAAGGGGTACATTTTTATGGGTGGATGCTTCTCTCTCTTCCTAATCCTCCCTCCCTCCCCTGAATATCTAATGATCCAGATTTTCTTCGTGGTGGATCTTTGTAAACTACTGTGCAAAAAAAAACCCAAAAATAAATAGCTGAGTGTGTTGAGGACCATGCTCTGCTCACCCCTTGGTGAGGGCAAAGAAGTCACAGGGCAGCAGAATCGTTCCTGCTTCACAAAAATTGATGTGAGGAGGGAAAGAGGATGCTGTGCTTGCCCAGATTGCTGTAATGCTCAGCTGCTGCTGCGGCACAGATGACAGCTTTGCTCCTTCAGCAGGACCATTCCTTCCTACTGGGATGGTTTGTGTGTGTCCATCCATCTGTCCCTGCCTACAGTGTTGTGAACCTATTGGCCACTTTCAGCTGAACTTGGAGGAGATGACAAGGCCTCCGATACCACTCTGCTTTGCTTCCTTGAGTGAAAGGCACAATCACCCGTGGCTTTTGTTGAGATTCACAGACATCACTTGCTATCTCTGGTCCGGCTAAACGTCTCATTGGTGTTGGCAAATGAGAGCTCCTGCGTGTGCACGTCGGGAGAGATTTCATATTCCACCCCCAAAGCTCAGATAACCAGACTTAGCCTGAATGCGTGGCCAGGCAGCTCCTGCAGTGGCTGGGGTGACACGTGGATGCTGCCTCCTGCGTGGACCCAGCCAAGAGATGTCCCAGCACAACCCTTTTGGCCACAGTGGTCTCATCCAGTTTTGGAAACCTCTGCTTCCTGCTGTGATAGCAGCTTCTGTGTCTGTGCACTAAGCCAGTGTGACACCGGGGCCATATCCTCCTCTTCCTTCAGTGAAGCAGCCACGTGACAGCATTTCCCAAATCGAGCCTGCCAGGCAGTTTGTAGCTTTACAGCAAGGACTGAACAGCTCAGTACAGCCAGAGGAGGAAAGCGAGGGAGATGGGGAGGCAGTGGGAAGAAGGGCTGAAGGAGGGCACCTGCCCGAGTCCCATCTGGGAGAAATTTGTTTCTCTGCCTAATCCTCAAAAGCAGCCAGGGAAGATGCTGGGACATCGCTCGTGCCACAGTCCAGCATCCTTAACCTTAAGAGAGCTGCCTTTCACGCCTGCCCCCCTGCAGCCGTGCCTGCCTGCTCCCTGGCTTACTAACAACTAAAAACGTGGGAAACCACCACGTGGCTGGGGCAAGCTTGGTTTCGATCAGAGTTTGGGCCTCATTTTGGCAGAGGCCGGGCAGGGAGTGTCCGGGAAGGTACTGCCGGGGCAGGGGGCAGCACCCAGAGGCACCGGCAGCTTCCCCCCGCCCCACTTCTACTGCCAGTTTCCTGAGTGACAACTTGCAGAAGCCGCGGTGCATTTGCCCTGCGGTGAGCAAGGGCAGCTGCTGCAGCTCTGGCACCGTGTTCCCGATGACTCACCCTACACGTGATGTGCAGCCCATCCTGAGCTCCGCTGCCTCTCACCGAAGGCTCACAAGCAGCCGCCGCGCGTTGTTGCAGCCTTCTGCGTGTTCTTCCTTACGTGTCACCTTTTGCTCTGCTAAAACTCCCTGCAATTTATTCCTGCAATCGCTCCTTCTTTTCTGGGCATCCCTCCAAGTTGCCGCTCGTTGTACGATCTGATGCTCCCTAAAATATCTGCAAGTCCTGTCGCCTTCAATCACGTTACTCAATTGGCAAGCCCTGCACTCACTCTCTGCTTGGCAAGACAATTACTCTTAGTACACTCTTCTCTTTTCTTGGTCTGCATATGCCCAGAACTGCTAAATTTTTGAAGTGTTTTTCTAGGCGTATCTGTATTTTGAAAAAAACAGCAGTTCAGGCACACCACGCTTTTCCAACTCCAAGCCAAGCAAGGTGCTGTATTTCATAATGCTTTGGGCCATGGAAAGTGGCAGATGATGAGGCATATTTATTTTATATTGGTGTTGATTTACTTTCCTATTATTCAGGTTACTTAGTTTCATTTTACATTTTTTAATTTATTTCTTACAGGTCCTTTTTGGAAGTGTAAATATTAACATTTGTGCTCCTATTGTGTTTCACGTGGGAAGGATTTTGCCAGAGCCCGTGACTTCCACATCTTATTGTGCTTTAACTTTTTGATAAACTGGTTGATATTTTGAGAGATTTTTTTTCCTCCCAGTCAGTTCTTTGCTACATATTGATAAAATAAACCATTTTTCTGAGGAGATTTCCTGGTTTAAATATTTATTGACCGTTTGTAGATGCTCCAAGAAGTTTTACCCGAAGACTCATACTTGCCGTACGTTGCTCACAGAAATGTTTTCTTCTCCTTCTGGGGTATTTCAACAGTTTATTCATTCGATCCAAATATTTATGAAGAGGTGCTCAGTGCTGGGAACAGAGGGAGCCTTTCTAAGAAGGGGAATGCAGTGGTCCTTCGCAGCAGCCGCTGACGACTTTTTAATGCGTTACGTTTCATGTGGCTGGCAGCTGGAATAACAGACGGTGACTCTTTGCCTTGAAGCTGGGCCTGTTAAAATCTGCCTCTTAAATTATTCCCAAATCCCAGGGAAGTGCGGCTTGAGTTGTCATTTAATCCAACGTGGAGTGTAGAACTGCACTCCTGGGTCTCCCTGGCCATGGCAGGAGGTAAAGGTGCCAGCACAGGGAGACAGGCAGCCGTCACCATTAGCGCTTTCTCCCCTCAGCGCGGCAAAATAAAGCTGTTTCTGCCCACAC